GATCATTACCTCTAATAATGCTGTTTGTGGAGTGGAAGTTATATAAGTTTTCGCCAGCCGAGTGTGGCTAGTTTTAGTTGGAGCTATTTTGGACTAGTGTCGTCGGTGCCGATACTAGTAAAGTGGTTACAAAAAGAAGCACAAAAACGGGATTGTGGCTACAATAAGAAGTAGCTAGTGAAGATATAAACTGCTGAGATGTATATGGTTTACAGAACTAAATCGCTCAGAAACAAATAGAAGTGTCCCACACAGGAGAGCAAGACCTGATCGTTCTCGATTTTACACCGCCCAGATGGCTCGAGTTCCGCGATGCTCATAACCTAGTAGCCGCGTGCTGGTTGGATGTCCAGTTTCCTCTCCTCATTTCCAGGTCACAAGAGGGTCACAGGCAGTAGGGGGATTAGAATGGTTTAAGCAGAGATTTCTCACATCTAGACTCACAGTCAGCACGCCCGGAAAAGCATTGTACAGTCGTTTCAACCTATCGCCGATGGGGAATACTTATAGATTCCATGACTGCGAGGCGATGGATGAAGCAGCAGCGTGGTTGTGGACGAAATCTTAGGGGCACGAAGTTGTATACAAACGTCAGATCCACAATTATTCCATGCATTTGACGACACTGAGTGCAAAAGTGAACTTCAGATACCGAACACAAAGTCAGATTGTTGTACCGCATGGCTGGCTCGAAAGTCCGTACTGCGTACTCCTAAACCATGTTAACACGTTATGTGTGCACACGCAATAAATGAGGCGATCAGGCGCCGTTAGAAAAATAGTGTTATCGCGCACTAAAAGATAACATCTATCTAGTACTTACAATTTTATTGCTTATCTATTGCACAATATTCGCTCTCGTTTCACTGCTCCTCACCTTCCGTCACCATCAACAGCATTACATCAGACATTTGAAAAGATTCCTCGTTTTCGTATAACCACGGGGACCTAAGGAACAAAGTATAACAATTTAGAGAGAAGAGGGACCTAGTGTAAGACCTTGACGCCCTAAACAAGTAATGAAGATCAAGGCGCCTAGACCTTGTGTTAGCAACATACCGTCACGAATAGCTGGCTATCCTGCGAAGATAACGCGGCATCGTCGATACAACTTCCTTACTGCTTTCACTGCCCCGCGGCATAATCAGCCGTTATCCCGCAGATAAACAAGCATCAAACACACTTTAAACAGGTAGTCCGACTAAGATACGGCAACAGACAAGCCGCTGGTGTCGACTGCGAGTAATATCCTGCAAACTCTCGAGTCAGGCACAATATGGGTCATGTGGACCCTAACGTGGAAGACGAGACGGACCGACGGCACCAGCGGCTTCCTTTCTATCCTCCTCCACCTCGGACTTTGTGCCATCCTACATCTAGAAAGAAAAGCAAAGCAATCCTCCCTGAACGCTGAACAGGCAAACGTAGCCTGTGCCAAAGCCAACGTAAATATTCCGTGCTATCTGTTGTTCTAAGGAACGAGTTTGATTAGCTATGTCTAGCACTCGCCTACGCACATCATCACTGCGGGCACGTTGGTGCCACCCGATACCAACAATGCTTCGCAGACAACGACGATCAAGGACTTGAACGCATCGCAGGTCCTCAGATCGAAGGGGTCAAATCTCACTCCCATAGAGTAGGACGGCCCTCGATGTGGCATTGTACACATGACCTTAGAGACGGGGGGAAACTCCTTCCTCACGCCAAAGATGTCGCAGATTTAAGTCATCTCGGGATTTTGTAATAAGTGAACTGACCAGCGCTTATGTGCCCATCGTTGCTGATGCAGCTGCTAAGCAAATGGTATACTCCTCCGGCGTGCAGGACACAGACCGATTTCGTGACCTGATCATTTTGAACAACAAAATCGAATGGTGAAGAAAGTTGTTCGAATGTTTCAATAGTCCAAATAGGCAAATTTTGATCAATGCGAATTCTGTGAAATACTATAAAGGGCGGTTACTCAGGTGCAGGAGAAGGCACGGTTGGACGCGGAATAGAAGCACCATGAGTACGCACCCATTCGATTTACTAATCCTGGCCAATAATGCGGCCTATGGAGTACGTTCGCTTGCGCGATGAGTAATCTAGCATTTCAGAAGTAGATGTTGCTGGAGTTCCCCGGTGTGGCTGCGCCTGATGTGAATGTTGACAATGTGCCTATCTGTTTATTACCCACTACTTCGTCCATACTAGCTCCAGGAGACAGTTGGTCGTTGCTGGTGGGGACGGGGTGCACTGTTCTCGTGACGGTTCTAGGCTCAAAGAGTGGTTCCATCCTGTGTGGAACGGGCTACGGTCCAGCCACCACCACGTGTACGTCTGGTGTGTATGATTTGCCAATTAGGCCGGAATGCTTCTGTTCTGCTTGTTGAAGAAGTGTGGACCGGCTCCGTTGATGAAACGTGGCTCCCATTCACATGCCTCCTGATCTTATTCCTTCGGATTTACATCGGATATGGGGTATGTGGGTGGAACTGTGAGTGGTGCAGCGTAAGCCACCCATGGCTCTCTGTAGGCGCAGGCGTCCTGTGACTGTCCCCATGGAGGTCACAGTGACACGCAAATCCGGATGCGGACGTCGCCAAATCATTCAGGTGTATATGCGTTTTGCCCCATGCTGAGGCGGATATTGCATACACCATGCTTCCTCATCGCTGTCCGGCTACACCGCGTTACCTATGACCATTCACCGAATTATGTCGATTTCGTTTACATTGAATTGCTCCGCATTCTCTCTCTCTCTCTCTACGCCGCACATGATACTGTATGCCTAGTCCTAACGTACTCTTGGTCCAGCGCAGTGTTATGTGTGAGGTGATCTCAATGGCCGAGAATGGTGCAGAATTACTACGACGCTCAAACCCATCCTGACGGATAGATGGAGCGAATCAAATTTATGCCAACTTAGGTGGACCCAGAAGAATGCCAGTAGTGAGCCAGCAGGAACGGAGGTAACGTTCGAGATTGCCAGGATTCACTACTTTGCCCAAATGATGCAAAATACGAAACGATGAAGGAGGCAATTTTAGGGGAGTCACAACCCAGTGCACGGGATCGATTGGAATAGCCTAATGGTCACAAGTTGGGTAATCGGAAGCCGTCGACACATTTAACGAGAGCACAGATAGCGATTCCGAAAAGCAGATCGAGTTGCAAGGACACTTACTTGTGCAGCAAAAGGTTTCCTGTTTGCCTAGCTATAAAAGTGACACTATTGACGTTGCTAGTTGAGGGGAACGAAGAAGAAGAGCCATCGCAATTTGCAATCGAAACGGACGCCAAGGAAGGTGGTGCTAGACTTAAGCAAGCGAACTCAACAATCAGTTCAATAACTTGTACCGGCCGCCTAAGTGTAAAATGAAATAATAACTTTGAACAGAATTTTACACAGGTGAGCCGCGGAAATCTCCAGTCTGCTACATAGCCCTGCCCAGATGGGACTGTGTAAGCAGTCCTTCAAACTACAGGAACGTCTGTCGCGAGCCAGTCATCTGCGAGACAAGGTGATGAAACCTGATGCAGCTGCCAGGGGAGAATCATGTGATCGAACCCTAGCGGGCTCCCACACGTACACTCTGGGATGGGGTTGTTCAAGCAGAACAATACGGATATACATGATGAAGCAAGCGGCCACTGTGCCGCAAGCGAACAGAGCAGTTACTTGGACGCCTACGGACATTTCGCCTATGCGCTGATTGGTTCGAAGTTGGCTACGCTGGAGCAGTTTTGTTTAACTAATCCAAAGGAAGAATTTCATGGATGCAGAAGCGTCTCTAGTTATGGAAGGGATCTAGTTGTTTACATCGAGGTTTCTACATGCTGGTTATGCTGCCATTTTTGATGAGCTTTGTCGAATAAACCGTTTGTCCTTGAAAGGTCGAGTACTGTGACATGATGTCTAGGAAAACCAAGGCTAAACCACCAAATGGTGCTGTTTCTGATCGGAAAGCAAGCAGCCGTGCAAATACTTGCCCCATTGAACACGGAAGAAAACAATTTGGCCAGTAATTGGAGAATCTGAAAAAGCAAGTGGATCAATTTCTACGTATTGGTGTATCTGAAGGAACAAACGATGGCGTACCGCCTGGCAATGTTTCGACATACGGTCCGAGACGAACCACGTCGGGTTCTGGAAACGACGCAGTGCGAGAAGTAAGAAGACCCGGATGATCTGGAAGCAATCATCGAAAATTCAGCAATTTCTGCGAGCGCCAGACTAACGATACGTATCACCGTTAGCTCTATTTCACACAAAACACGCGCCCAAACGAACTATCGAGAAGTATGTTACGAGCTGATGATTCTGGTTCGTTCCTGTATTTTTGCAATTGTGTGGCTTACAGTCTTGCTGCAGAACTCAGTCCTTCAGGGACAAGCGTTTATTCCGCAAAGAGAACTCGGCGAAAATTACAGCACGTTTGGCAAGCCATGCTCCTCGATCTAAGTTACGCGTTCACGTCCATGACTAACGACCCTTCTGAGGGCAATGAGGCATTTCCCTTGACTCAGTTAAATAAACGAGGATTAACATGAATGTCGGCCAATCCATATCCAGCAAACAAATCAGTTACACCCGTCGACCACTGGCTATCGACCTCGCTCGGTTGCCCCCCCACCCGTTCACTGTGGCATGACACTGCCATCACAAGTCCCATCTGAGATAGAATAGTGCAGGGGACCAATGATGAAAACAGTTATGGATCGGCTGTTGTGGCAACGGCATTTATCGTTCAGAATCTTCAGCCATATACCGCATCCGGAAAATGTACAGCTGACTGATGCAGAGCTCTGTGCCATATCCAATTTAATTGACAAAACTGCGAAACCTCTTATCAAGACATACGGAACTTGCAAATTCTGCGCCGTGCAACACCCGAAGAATTGCGATCAATGTCCACCGTGGCAGCAAATGACTGATAAACATGCTTGTGCTGGTTCACGCCCCCGCAATCAAAATCTAACATCGGCAAAGTAGTGGAACGTATAAAACCAAATAAGCGAGACAAAAGACGTGAGGGTTTATACAAGTAATTCGTAATACGTTAAAAAACAATAAATGCCGTCAAGCTTTGAAGCCGGAGTTAGCGGTGGGACCCGTGGAGGCTGCGGTCAAATGTTTTGGTTTGACTTCGTTTTCAGACACGCTACGTATGTAGATATTGGGATCGGGCTCATTCTCAATCTTCCCTCGTTCGTACATGTAAGATGAGGCAATAGCGAGCAAGTGTCCATCCTCAGAAAACGCTAAACCTGAGATACTGGTGGGGTATTTGGGCAATTGCGCCAAACGCTTCCGATTAAACCCATCCCATATGTTGACGATTCCGTCACATCCACCTGCAAGGTAAAAAAAACAAGCTTCAGTTTATCGGCGTGGAAGTGTTGAAGGTCAAATAGGCAATGAATCAATCGAGAAATAACCAGACACATTCATTTCCGTACGGAATAATATTGACATGGGTTAGGCTGCTAGCATTACGCTAGCTGCTTCGGAATGACAAACAAACATCATGTGGGGAAATTGCAAGCTACTCATCAGTTGGGCGGGAAATTCGGATTGTAACAAGCTAGAGAATGAAGCAGGGAAGTGATAGAAATTTCAGCAGACGCCCGAAACGCAAGACACCTATCACTAACGTAGCCTGCGAGTCAGGTTGCCACAAACGTGGCCTCAGGAACTGGATGAGCGTGTATTCGCAAAACAACGAAACGAAGCCGCGAAGCGGCTAGTAATAGACGCAAACTACTAGTAGCCCCGTTGTGAAACAGTGGAAAAACAAGAATGCATTAACAAAGGCCGGTGATAACAGTTTCCCATAAACGTTCCATCAAAATTGTATGATGTGGGCCCCGGTAAATGTAACAGGCATACGAATCGCTTTTGTACACAGTTCTCGTATTGAGGTTGCGGATACAGAGAGCTTCAGCAACGGATAGATGTTTACGGAATCCGCTCGGAAATCGTTCAAAATGGCGTAGATAAGTCTGAAATGGTTCTCAGCACCTACGTACCTGTGCTGAAGGAGGTGTGACATGATGGAGTTATTAGAAGACCTCACTTCACCTCTGCTCGCGAATCGCATGACATAGGTGCCTCGTAGTACGATCCATTTATCGAGTATTAATAAACAAGCACTGATCGAGTCAACGCAGGCAGTCTATCCTACAAAGGTTTTGCGAGTAAAGACTTGCCGTATTATCCTATGCGCAAGCCAGTCGCGAAATAGGTCTTCTCAACAGCGTCTTTCCGGCATTCAGTCAGGATGTAAGCCGCAAGGTCGTCTTTGAATGACAAATGCACAAAATGTTCTTTCTTGGTTACGCTCATACTCTGTGGCTTCCTTTTACGTTCTTTCGGATGTTTGAGGATGAATTTATCCCGATATCCTAGGAAGTCGATCCTCTGAATTTCCTCGGTAACGGTGTATGGTGTGCAAATACTGCGCACCCGAAACGCAAGAGGGTGGACCAGATGCAGCTTATAGTGTGGGGGAACCGCCCTATAAAGATTTGTGTACTGCCCAGTCCAAATGTGTTTTCTATACACTTTTCTGTTGCATGAACCATTGGTGTTTCTGATAATATACACGTCCAGAAATAGTATCCGTCCTCATAGGCGATACGCAAATTTTGATGCGAGTTGCTAAAAGCATTCAAAAGCTTTACAGCCTGAGCCTTCGATTCGCAGGATTCGCGAACACATTTCGAAGTGGTTTACAGATGTGAAACGAGGTTTTCCAACAGCCCCATCATGTCGCACCTTCTTGAGTACGGTCACGCAGGTCTGGAAACGAGTTCAGAGTTGATTTCAGAAGGTTTTGAGTAAAATTCGGTTTTTGTAGGTTTTTATTATGGCAACATTTCGCTTCATCAGGCCAACCTACAATAACCGATCGTATTCAAAATCTTCTGAAATCATGAGATCCCAGTCGGTTCCAAGCATATTTCGAGATATCGATTTCGGAGTTATCTATCCCATTCCGGGACGATTCGCTCTCGGATTCCGAAAATTGTGTGACTTCAAACGGACAATATAGCCATTGGGAATATGCGTCTGATGTGGAAAATGAAACCGAAATTTTCACAGGGTGTTGGACACCGAAACATGGCTATCGCAAACATATTATTGCTGAAAACAGTAGATGAGAGCGCTACAAAGTGGGAGTTAGTAGTGCCGGTTGCATTGAGACAGAATCGTAATGAGGACGAAGAAAGTTCATTACTGCCATTCGTGGAGCAAATGGTGGAAGCTGGTGTCGTCTCTCACTGGGTCCGGACTCCGCTTACCTATCTACTGAAAGAAGATGGACTCAACAGTACCAAACCGTAAGGCTCGCCTCAATTTCCGCGCGAATGCGAAACCAGACGTAGACTGAGGCGACAAGATGTTAAACTCCTAGAGCAAATAAACACATATCGGAAAGGATCCACCCCCAAGTGAATAAGTTCTTGCGTTGCCCTGCACTGGCGATCCTCCACCGCATAATCCAACTTTGGTGTTCCAAATTCTACGCTTGCATTCGAATCGCCAAGGATTCACCGAAGCTGTCGCGAGAAGCCGGGTTAAACCAGCCCAGTGCGTTCGGAACGAAGTACTTGTCAGCTCATGGATCACTGCCTTAATCGTGACTTCACGCGAATATACAATGAATTGTAACTGTGAGACTGCAGATCGCAATCAATTCGCTCAACTTCAAATTATGAAACATTGGGTCCCCTTCATCCACTTTACCAAAGCAGAAAGGGGAGATAGATTGCGATATGTCGACATTTATGCTCTCATCAGTCGCATACACTATACAAGCAGAAATACATGCACAAATATATACATGGGTATAATCAGCACATCAAACAAAATGTCATAAACAAGACCGATGCAATCTAATTGATTGCCTCAAGAGTTACTGTGCACATAGCACAGGTTGATAAGCCCTAATTAGAAAGGCTTCACTGATTGCCACTGATTGTTGCGTAATACCACCTAGAACGCAGGTTTCGGGTTCACATGATGATCCGCTGTTATGGGGTGCTTGGTGATAGATGACGAGGGACCCCGGTTCATTCCGGAGGGTGGTTCGTTTTGTTGCGTCATTATTTGTTCCACCCCCTTTGGCAAGTGTACAGCCATCTTCTGAGCCAGCGGACGGTTAGTTCTGCCTATGTGGACGTCACAACAATTGCAGGTGAACTGCTAAACGACATGAGAGGCCGAACTAACCGAAGAACTGCTCTAGTGGTCATGCAGAAAAAGTTTCCGGGTAGTGTGTATGAGGCGTAATTGGGCAGTCGTGTAAGTACGTGTTAGCGCGGACCTGAGCTCGTGTCCGACATCATTTGCCACATGGTCCCCTTTAAGGACAGAACCATATAAACAGCTTTCTTCTCTATTGTTAGCATTGACAGTTTCCTTTTTGGGAGTCTGCTGTGGATTTCGATGAACTTCTCGGAATAACCATTCGACACTAGGGTACTCTGTAGAAGCACTTTTTCGGCTTTCAACAATTCCGAACGGTAAATGCATCTGTCCCTGTAGAAGAGTGCTTTTACTAGGTCGCGTTTGGATGCGACCGAGGCGAAACTGGAAAAATGAAGGTACTACCTACACCAGGTCGCCTTGAGGTAAACGTTGGGCTGCGGTGTAACTCTGTCCCGTCCCTTAATGAGGAGATCCAAAAATGACAGGCAGTTATATTGTTCCATCTCGTGGGACACCGATAAGCTGAGGTGAACTGAATTCAGTGGTTAACAACCGGGTAAAATGTTTGCTGCCGGTAAATACTAGAATGTCATCTACACACCGTTTGTACAGTTTCGCTTTAACAATACTGATAGCAACTTGCTTTTCGATCAAACCGAGAAAGATATCTGCCAAAACCGACCTTCGAGGGCTGCCCATGGCGGCTCTGTGGATCTTCTTGTATATCATCCTCTCAAACAAAATAGTACATTTGATATGCACAGTAGAATCATATCCTTCAAATATTCCACACAGAGGCCCACATACATGTTTCGGCCCAGGATGAGATGGCACCAGTCGTCAACGGTTACCTGAATTGGCACGTTTGTCAAGAGCAGACGTCAATAGAGTACGTGAACTACTGGCCCAGTGAGGATTGTTTCAGCGTATCCGCTAGTCCAAATGAATTTTGCAAGCAGTGCGTAGTCAGGAATTAACGCACGGGATCTAATAGTTTCGCCAGCCACCAGGCAACGTCATGATAAGGCGAGTTGTTCATCCACATAAGCGGACGCAGTGGGTTACCTGGATTGTGTAACTTAGGCGCGCCTCTCATTCTTGGTGTTTGCGCCCCAGTTGGTTTCAGCTGCCTGTACTGCGACTCATTGATGCATCCAGGTAGTAAAAGGATCTGGAGTTTTCTTGCAACCTGTTTCTCTTCTTTGTCATTCTCCGATATCGTGTCAATCAGAAAGTTCCGTCTGTCCCCCAAAATAGACTCCATTTTTTGAAGCTTAGTCATCCATGTTTACGATTACAGTGCCCGATCCTGCATTCGTTTGCAAGAAAGTTACGTGTGCCGTTTCTGAATACGTCAATAAGCCAGAGATGTTGCCTGAAGGTTAAACAGTATGTGCGCAACATGCGTTGCTCGCGGGTCAATGGCCTAGGGGTCAAAGCTTCATCTGACAATCGTTAGGTACCGGGTTCCAGCTGCAGTTCTGGTATCTCTCGTCTAGTCTGGAATAAAGCTTGTTTATTTATTTATTTGATGGGCATAAATAAGTGCAAAACAAGCGGTGGAGTACCAGCGGGAAACACCTAACATTCAACAACATCAAAAGATAATTAGTTAGGAGGCTCATACCGGTTGCGAAAGTGTTGTACCCTTGATGGAAAGCAATCGCTGTGACAGGATAGATGATCTCTTTGTCTTCCTCTTTAACTCGATGACACTTGAAAGCGTACTTCTTCTTTTGTACTTCCGGGCTGGGGTCAAACATTTCGACAGCAATTCGACCTGAAATGTAGGGGACAAATTGATAAGCTATGCCAGAAAATGTAATGTACAATATTTCAAAAATACCTATTTGCTAATTGGGTTTCATTTACAAAATGAAATACTAGGCTTTGCAGTAGACACGGAGAATATAAGGAAAAGCAACGGTAAACGGGTTAACTCAGTTTCTGATTGAACTGTGAACGATTAGTGTCCAAAGCATAAGATCGTGAATCATTGTGAGATTACCGAGAGCTGGTACAGGCAAATTTCGATTCAGAAGGCGCTACTCAGAAGTATTAAAGAGATTTAGAGGTTAGCAAGTTCATTGCAATTAAAGTATAAGCAATGAAGGTGAACTAACAATCCGGAGGAGCACCAAACGACCATTTTGTACTATTCAGATTCGTCAACGGTGCGCAATACTTCAGTTCCCTGATGGGGATCGAATCCATGACCGCTAGTGGTTTGCACCAGCAGCCAGCAGCTTATGCCACTGAGCCAGGCGGGATGATAGCCGGCCATCAAGGGTTGAAATCGAACTGCGATATAGCCCGACCTATCCTCCACTGCCATGCAGATTACCGCCAGTGCAGAGGACAGTGGTTGGCCGTCTGGGTCAGGACGTTCCTTGTCAGTGCCGTGAATCCACACAGCATTTCGGTGGACTGGTAGGGCTTAGTTTTTGACTACTTATGAGTAGACAGGTTCGACGAGATTTGGTTGGTTCAACGTGATTAGATTGCAAGCCAGAAGGAACAATTACCAATTCGGAAAAGCACCGGACCGCATAAATGTTGGGTGTTGCTAACCCGAAGACAATGCACCTCAATATCTACCTGCTTCATCAGTCACGGTCCAGTGATCCATTTGACCAAGATTCCTCTCAATGCGAATCAAGGTCCACATTGAGACTGCGCGTCGTATTGAGCTTGCACAACGAGCATTTTAAAAATGGCCATTCAAAAAGAAGGATATATTTCAAGAATGCGATGCAACCACTGTTATCTCAAGAGTTACATGTTGGAAACCAGCGATCGGATCAAGCTTGAAAACCGAGTTCTGGCCTATGAAGCCACAATAAGACGAATAGCGGACCGATGAGAGAGCAGCACACAGCAACTGCGTGTAGTGAAAAAATTCGGAAGATAGCTGATCTACAACGCGAAGCAACGAACTACCAGCAGTATTCAGCCTCAGTGTCATCGGGGTACCAGTGAAGCAGGTGGGATGATTTACATAAAGAGAAGTGATCGACCTCGATTTTTCTTTTAAAAACAGTAATGAAGAAAACATGATGCTGTTGCCTTAAAAGGATGAGTGGCCAAATGGTCGTCCTTTCTTGGGTATACGGTGTCTGTGTTGAGGCACGAACTGATGAAAATTAAAGTCGCCTCTAAGGATTGGTCAAAAGTATGGACAACCAAATGGGAGCAAAAGATAAGTCGTAAAAAGGAGCGATCAGCGAAGTATTTGCCGTATAAATCACACACACTCAATAAAAATGGAGAATGAGGCAAAGCAAAAAACGCGTGCAAACTTACACAAGGTTCAGCAAAGGGATAAGTATGAAAACATCCATGGTGGTGATAGCATTTGTCCTTTAATGCGCGACTGGGTCTAAAGGTAGAGTGATGGCTCGCATGCCTCCAGTGAGCTAAATTTGGTTGTGAATTCGTATTGTCCTCAGTGCCATTGGTAAGAGGTAGGCCACAAGTTAAAGTCAGACAATCTCGGTTCCTGCATCTGCGATGATCGCTTTCAATCACAACCATAGGATACAACAGTTAGGGGCTAAGGTCAACTAACTCGGCGTACGGTTGTCATCGACCGTAAGAATGTGTCACTCTAGTTCACTAGTTTGCCAGGTCAACCCTAAACCAGGTGTCTCCTGATCAAAAGAGCGCAGACTCACTTAAGCCCATTTGCAGTTGACAGTGATCGTACGTATATAACCCAGCCAAGGCTGAAAACAAGGCACTGTTGTTTCTAGTTCATAACCTTCCTAATCCACGTGCGGCCGGTATCTGTACTCTGTACGCACACTCCCGAAATGGACCCACCTCCCATAACCATGTGATTTCAACCATTGAGTTAAAGGTTCCAAGTGGGATGATTCAGGAATGCTAACCTATATCCCACTGTCTTGTGAGTCAGAATTGAGTCAAGGATAGAAGTAGGAAACTTCGGACAAGAGCACTCTCTAGGAATAGGGGGACGGAAATTGTCATTCGCCCACAACACGCTGCTGCCGGTGATTTCTTCTTGCTCCGTTTTCTTTTCAAGAACGTCTTCTCATGTTAACCAGCAAGGGACCACATTTGACCTCATCAGCTACACAGACAAGAAAAATAGGCTATCTTAGATACAAAAAGTATCATTCTATGCAAGGTCCTCAACGCCAGCAAATTCCGTCAGATTGGTTGGTAGGTGATACAATATTGTGCCCACTCAGAGCTAACTTGTGCTGCCTTTGAAACACAATGTTGTTCGAATACATCTGTGCGTAACAGACAAGGGTCACATTGACAGGGTTTACATACTCCGTGTTTCCAGTGACCCCGATTCTATGATTCGGATACTTCAGGTCAGGGTTACTCTCAAGGTAAAAAGATTGCTCATCTAGATTGGATAGGAAGCGGTTGGTCAATGAGCCCTCCAACTGTTTGGGGATGCGCTCACCATTACATATGTATAAGAATCAGGTGTAATGAGTTCGTCACCGTTGTGGGTGGCACGAATGTCCAAATCGGCCGGTAGATTGAACACCGTCTCAGGAGTCGCTTTTGGATTCTTGCTTACCCCCCCCCCTAACCAGACTCGATCACAGCTTGTACAACAGCAGAAGAGCTTTACAGTACAAACGCTCGCATCTAGTTACATGGCGTCCACTGAACGATAAGCTGCTCCGAATTTAAACTGACCGAATTACTGTCGGTCATAGGCGGTGCAGTACCGTTGTACGCGGCCGCCCAGAGTTCATTTTCCGGTTGTGGCGAAGTGTAGAACATCACAGTCTGCTAAGCAACAGCAAGTGTCGCTAAAGAAAGAGGTAAAAGGATCAAACGGAAATTGGAATCACCTCAAATACGCGATGCAAAAAACATTCACAGCTTCCTGCTCGCCAAGCCCGGGGCGTCTGGATAGTAGGTGGATTGCTGTAACATCGATAAGACGACATAGTGAAGCATATATGATTACTCTATCAGTATGCCAGTTTCAAGTTCGGCAACATTGAAACGGCGACTGACTAAGGGTTTCAAAAATGACTGGAGGTTTTGGTGGATGGCGACGGCTTACAAGATGGAACATGCCGGTTATCGAGAACTCCAACGTGTTGTCCTGACATATCCTAAAGACGTGATCAACAAAGGCTCCCATGAGTAAAGCAACAAACATAAGAGTTGAATAGCCGATTCACTTTCAGTCATGTAGACAGGAACTCTGAACCAACCAATTCAGAGTGCGGGCTCGCACACCTGAATTTCTGGCTAGGTCATATGGAGTTACCTAGGATATTGGGATGGAAAATCGCAAAATCGAAGCCCGGCACAAACAGCTGATGACCAAGGGAAGCGAGGTGGCCGACGTCGATGATTTTCCTCCATTTTTGTTCAAAGGCGGTGGTGAATGCCATGGCTAGTCTATTCGACGCTATATGACGTGAGGAGGAAGTACTCTCTGAATACTAGTTGTCAATCATCCTACTCATTCTTCAAAGGATGCAAATGGCCCCCTATGATAACCATGGTGGTGTCAGGCATATCCGAAGTGCTTCTGATCTACTCCACTGCATCATGCTATGATAACTCACTGGTTCCGGTGAGGGAGAAATCAGTGGAAGTCAAGTAAGCTTCCGCTTCAGAAATGAGTTTTGAACGATACTGGAAAGTAGCGAAAAAAGCTCACGATAGCGCCTAACATCATGAAGTACTGCTGACCCCGAGATAAGAGCATTAGTTAACAGCTACGCTCAACATCAAATGCAAGGCCATCGTTGCACAGTGACTCCAAAGAATCCAGAGATCGACAGCCAAGTCGTCAGATGATTTCTCCGCGTTCCCTTTTGTGTGTGTGTGTGTGTGTGTGTTTTAAAAATCGAAGTCCCAAGTTAACACGGAACAGGGTGATGAGAAAATACCATTATTAAATATGTCGTACTAAAGGTTGAAGTGAAAACAGACAAACTGGGAACCCAGTGATACATAGCAGGAATGATTTGCCTATCCCATCTTTTCGGTGTCTGTAAGGTTTTATTGCAGTGGCACAGAAGGCAAGAATCACAGGCGGAACGGACAAGCTGCGAAAACTAAGGAAGGTGAAAAGTAACGAGGACACCTGGGACGAAAGTCGACAAAGCAGCTCGAGGCCTACGGAACAAGCTGGAAATGGACAACGAACGACAAACGATGTCAGGCCCAGACAAGCGGGGGACGTAGCGGTAGACAGCCCGAATTTCCGGTGAGATACGCGTTTGGCCGCGCCTCCAGGAATAACCACGAGGAGAGTGACGCAGCCCCGATTAAGCAAGTCAAGGGCATTAGAACGAATGCAACCCCGTCAGAACACGGCAAGCGGAAGCGAAGATACGATAGTAAATCGGTCAAAAGAACCACGCGGATCGACTGACATCGGGGCATGTGACGCTGAGCGAAACGACAATGTGTGGCACGTGGTGGGTTGGAATTGTCCTCTATAGATGCACGCGTGCGTGATAGTCTGTGAACCCGTTGCGCGTTTGCAATAAAGATTGGGCGTCCCTACCGCTCGTTCTTGCTAGATTATGTTTCAAGGCGACAGAAAAGGTCACGTAAACTAACGAAGAAAACTATTTAACCTTAGACTGTATCGCAGTTTTATCAGATGACTGATCGTTGTTTACGATTTCGTTTATTTTACTCCTAGCACATCAACGTGTTTACGTGTATTCAGTCCTTGCTCTAGCGCTTCACGAGTCCCTAAGCAACGGTGACCAGATCGATCAGCAAGGCGGAGAGCAAACAGCTTTCAAGTGGGGCCACACTAGAAGAGCGAAAAAACGTTTAACCAATGAGAGGAAGCAATGAATAGTTAGCGCGCCGGAATTCGGCACATATGGTTACCATTTAGTCAAAAGCGTCAGGTCGAGTGATGTTCATTTGTCTACAACAGTTACGGCCCATAAAACTTCCGTCAACTGTGTCGCACGTTTGGCTGAGAAATACTGGAAAGGGATAGGATACAAGTAAAGAATCCAGGAAGCCCTAGACTCACCTTCGATGGAGCCCAAAATGTAACCTTGCCCATTTGGGAAGCAACGGATGCACCGGGTTTGATAGCGAAGGCTCGATTCTCGTTGTTCCACGGGTGCGTGCATTTGCCGTAGGTCCCAAATCAGCACATGGCGCCCAGCGGTGCCGACCACGAGATTGTGGCGTATGCTGTCCAATGTGTACACGGTATTTGGTTGACGGTGCACACTGACAGCTCCACCTTTGCCATCCGCGCCCTTGGAGCCAACATCCGACGGTGTGGCACGAGGATCCCAAAGACGGACTGTGCAGTCCCAGCTGCCAGTGATGCACGCCAGTATCGTGCTATTGTATTGCATACAGCTGATAGCGCGACCGCATGAACCTAGGACCTGAGCTACAAGAGGGAATTTAGACAATTTTGGGGCAAATGCAGTTTGACAAGACATGACACAATTCGCGCTTGATTACATAAAATATTCTTGAGTCCCGAAACGGCCGTTAGAGTTCAGCGTGACGAATGTCAAAGTTGTAAAGCAGTTGCAGACTGTAATAGAGCACAAACGAGTGAGTAGAGATGGGGAGATTTCGAATATGCGTAGGTGTGGACGAACTCGCGATATACTCAACTCACACGTGACCGGTGGTGGTCGCTTGGCAGTGTAGTGTACGGTGAGCCGGTATACTGCTGATGACTTTCAGCAGGGAATTCTCTGCTGTTCATGCGGCCACTACTGCTCAACTGATTTTGATTAACATGACTATGTAGGGATGGTGGTACTTCATTCCCAACAGACATGTGTACTCGGGGATTAGGAGAGATCAGCAAATTAGACTAAATGGAGTAACCTAGTTTGTGAACGTTGACCTCGGTGTTAAGGTGTCACAAACCTAGATGTCGTTGTTCAGGATATCATAGCAATGCAAGGTAAGTACAGCTAAACAAGGAAACTCAAATGAAACACCAGCAAATGCCGAAAACACAAGAAGGTTAAACGTATTTGGAAAGAAGGAGGAAAACGAAACAACACAACTTGCCCGACGAATAAAATGACGTGGATAACCTGGAGGCATCCGTCAAAGACGGTACACAGTAAGGTAAGCCAGTCGTTGACGAATTTAGGTAAATTTACATCCCTGTGAAACGTCACGGACCAAATACCCCGAGACACAAGCATAGAAGAACTCACAAAAGCTGAGTGTTGAGGTTTATGACAGCGGGACACTGAATGGTCTGGTGTTAAAGGCCAACTGCCGAACGGAACCTACTTGGTGGGCTCGCCAGTAACAACAAATGTTAGCAGATACTAGTGATCATAGATGATGGATTCTATGAGGTCAAATCCATTCTGTGGTGCTTGTCATGTAGAAACCCAACATCACAACACATGAGGCGCGTGTTGATGCGATCTCTCACGGGGACCGTCTGTTACACATCCTGGTTGTGTAATGCAGAAACAGTTACGATTGACATCGGAGGCTCTAAGCTGCTGTGTCACACTACCATTCCCTCGTTTCGCAACAGTCGATCTACTTCATCCAGTGAAAAAATGTGGCGTCGTTCATAGTTTGTCCTACGGTAAACGTTCCCTTCCAACTGCCACTTCTCTCACATTGCTCAACAATTTTTAACTCATTTCCATCCGGTTTCGGATACGTTACTCTGCGATAACAACAAGCACCCAGTCTGCAGAGGCATTTGGACTTCGCGTCTCTCAAATGCATTCTGTTAAATGCCATAGAAGTTTGATTCACTATGGTAGTCACATACGGCGACGTTATCTTGAGCTCAACTATAATTAGCCACCGCCTCGGTGGTTTGGTTACACGCAACAGTAGATCCAAAAAGCAGGCACTGATGCCTCGTTATCACGCAAGCGGTTGCATGTGAGCTAAGAGGCACCCAGAGTGAATCAGGGACGTAGACTCCAAACGAGTGCCATCAAGAAAAGGGATACAGCAGTCCGAATAGGTGAGCCAGTGAACCACTTCGAGTGACTATACCGAGATAATGAGAACAAGTGATGTATCGGCCAAGTGCTGAACAACTGCCTCGCATCCTAAAAGTGCGAAGCGTACACCGACGGGGATAGTGCAGTTGACCTGTCACCTAGAGGGAATCCGACGCGATAATTGCAACACACAATTACCACGCGAAAATTTCACACTAGTCCGACCAGAAAATTGCTCACGTGTAAGGGGAGAACAAATAGACAGTTGATTCGAATTATATAGTGGAGTGATAAATAATGGATTGAGTCGTTCAGTCGAATGTGGGGTAACAAATAAAGGCGTATAACATTGATTCACTAAAATCACGAAGAACTATACTGTAGAAAAATAGGAACGCAAAAGGCATTTACGTTTCACAAACCTATTAGATGAGGCCTAACAAATTAAATGTCCGAGTCTGCAGACAAGCGTACAATCTGCCAGCGGTATTTGGCATAATGACTCGCCATCATCCTATCTGATTCTCGAGCTTTGATCTGGCTTAGTCGGGCGAGGTATTGTGTTAATAGGCTGATCAACATGAACCTTGACATCAGTAGTTAGTTGAAGCACCTGCTCATGAATCAAGCGGTGCGGCGTGTGACGCTTCCAATGCCAAGCCACGGTCTGAAATTCGGACCAATACTGACTCAGAGAGAAGCTAATGGTTACTTTCAGATGACATCCGTAAACAACTAGATCTGAGTTTGCAAGTGTAAAAAGATCCCAGGAGGCTAGGCTGAGTCGAACAAGCTGCTCTCGGCCATGGTGTCCAGAAAATGGTGGTCCCACAAAACACATGGAGTAGAAACCTGGTTAGTGTTTAAACTGCAACCATGAAAAAGGCCTGTGGAAAATGTGAGGACGTTTTATGATCTGTTGATATCTAAAATCGTGTCAACTAACCTTGATTTGTGTTGCAATCAAAAGACCGCAAGTCGCCTGCGAGAGATCCACTCAAGACGTGAACTGTGTCATAAAAGACGGAGTCGAGCACAGGAGTTGTGTGCTGGTGCATCATACGCTGATTACCAGAGGCCACATCGTACACACGAACTGTGCAGTCCCAGCTGGAAGCGGCCAAGAACTGAGGTGTCGCTTTCCCTGGCTGAAACTGTACTGAGGTAATACCATCCGTTGGTAATGATGAAAGTTTGTATTGATCGGCAGGATTATTTAGACCGGGAGCCATCAGGGAGCGGGCTGAAGAATAGATGGATAGACATGTATACTCAGCGTGGTGTTGAATGCGTTGAACAACAATGCACCACGCACAAGCCGGAACTAACAACGTTGGAAAAAGATAAGGAAGTAGAAAGAAAATGTATCTGTATCAAGTAAAACAATACGGCGCACATGTTTGATGTTGTGTGAAACACAACAGGGAATAAAAACAAGACCTGAATCCAGTTCGCCTCAGGAGAAAAACCAGAGGAACAAGAGAAGTCCAAAGTACATTCGGCCAAAGGAGCGTTGAAAACAAATGATTGTAGAAAAGTCAAAAGAAGGCATGATGGTAGAAAATAGCTCAGCGAGAGAGAAACTGTTGGGAACAAAATAAAGAATATCATTTTACGAGGCATCTAAAATCGATTCCGCCGAAGGCGGCGCAATCATCTCTGAAGAAGCAACCACTCGTTTCGACAGGGTACATGCTGGTTGGGGTGATTTTCCGAGAATACCGGTCTGCCAATTGAATGGGGAAGCTAGTGGTACATCGTCGCGATCCACGTCTGGAGATATCCAGGGAGATAGTAGAGCATCCGGATCAGTAAGTTGAATATCCATAACTGGTTGGTCACTTGGCAAGTAGCCCGTAGGTGTACGCCATGGCCATGGTTGAGCGTTCCAAGTCAGGCTGAAGCAAGTGATGCACTTCCCAAAAACGAGTATCACAAATGGTTGATGCAGTAAAGCAAGCAAACGGTAGTATGGACCGTTGAACGGATCGCTGACCGCAGGACATAGAATGCTGTTCAAATTCACTCCCGTCAACTGAAAAACGGGATTAGAAACAGTAAAAGCCACACATATTAGTGGATAGACTGAGGTAAGGCAATAAAGATCAGAAATCAGTTTACAAGCTAACGCAGACAAGAACATAAGAGGATAATTTGATCCACATAACTGGGTTTTACAGAGGAACGAGTCGACTCGTACAGGATAGAGAAAGCGTGATATATGTTGGTCGACTATCACGCATATGAGACTAACGATAAAAACGACTCCGAATACCTTGCTTCAAATCAAGAAATTGGGTACAAGGATGTATGCGGACAACGGTGGAAATGAGAGAATAGACGAGAACAAATGAGATAAACCAGATGCGGATAGAATACCGAACATAAACTGCAAATAAAAATGGAATGGGGAAAGACTGACTGGTTAACAATTTGACACGACCCACAAGACGGTGAGTAGACACTTGTGTCACCGAAAAAGCTGGGAGAGAACAAGCAATCTGAACCAACGCCGTGTCTAAGTAAGTGAATAAGAAAGTAACGGTTTAGTTTATGCCTGACTGTAGAAGCAGACTTCGGTGACATGTGCGTGTGGAATAGATGGTGGCAGGACACCGTAGAATGCAGATGGACAGTTCACGAGCAGTCTACACAGTGCCCATTCTACAATCCAAATATCGACTCCATTCGTTCGATCTATTCATAAAACAATATCGACGCAGTAACATGTAACAGTACGCGACCCATTAAAGTCTATACGTTTAAACTTAAATGAGGGAAAACCAATCACCACTACACTGTCCACAGGACTGGGATGTATATGTTCTAAGAACATAGTTGTGAGTATAAAAAGGGGTATTAAAATCGCAGAGATGAAAAGCAGCTTCATACTCGAAAAATGACCAAAAACCCAACTTGTCGGGGCGTGACGGGCATGATCGACATCATCAGCAGCATTTCGTCGGAAAAGTCCACCTGTGCACGGATGCTACGAAACAGAGATGAATGATATGGAACCGAAACCGCCAAAATACAGCAGATTCTTTCAGGCGAAAGGTGATAACCGGTGTCGATCAACGACAATCGCCTCGACACACAGACTGTCTCTGTTGAGCGCTAATCATCAATTAGTTCTAAACCCAAACATTCGGAGAACACAAGATCTACTGCAGCAAACTCTACTGACTTGCTAACCGTAGTCTGCAGAATTTGGAAAAAAACTGATTAATATAAAGTTGTACAGCCAGTTTTGGGGACTCGGTTTACATACAGCACATAGTACATAGAGCAATTTAGGCTAATTACAAACTGAGAAACGAAGCAGCAACGACGCAGGAGGAAAAATGTGACCATGTATCAACTGCAGCGAAAGTTCTAGATAATATCTGAAAATTTGGCAATTTTTAATGTAACTAACTAATAAGATATCATTTCAAAAAGTGGTCATTTGTGGTTTTTATTCCATGGATCCAAATACAGGGTTTCGGACTCGACGAAGGTGAAGAGTGATACTGACCCGAGTTTCTGAGTGGATTAGCCTTCTGACGCTCGTGGACGGAATGAGAAAAGTACGAAATGGTATATCTAACGGGAGTGGTCAGTGGCTGACATTTTCCTGTGCCTTGGACGTAAATGTTCACGGTATTTGCTCCAAGTTTCATCGTTCACAAGTACACTAAAAGCACGCTCCCTTGGTGAATGACAACTTCGGTCTATTCATTACACCCGTGTCTGTAATCCCGAAATTACAAAAGATGTCCCATTGTAATGCCGCGCTGGTGCTCTAATGCGGAAAGCAGAGGTGAATCTCTCTTTGAGTGAGGGCATGGTGTATCGTAGGAAGCTTGCGGTTCATCAGAGTTTCGGCTTGACAGCGACCCTCGGGCCTGGGTGTGGATCGATGCACAAACAAGGATGTATTCAAGAGCTCAGCGGTAGTCTCTCTCCATAGGACTTCGGAAACGTTCACCTGAAGATATCGATGAAGCGCTCAATCTGACCATACGGATGTGGGTGGAAAAGGCGAGAACCGTATGGGGTGTTCAAATGGGTGCAGAAGTCCGTGGATTGGAATGTAGTTAACAGAGAAGCAATGTCTGAAACAATCACGTCTGCGAGATTGTGCTGGTTGAAGATACTTCGAAGTGCGGTGATCGTGCCGGTTAACATCGATGACTACACGGAGTAAGAGCCGACGAAGATGAGTCATGACACTTCGTCGATTGAATCATCTAAGCCCAGGTGAATAATGGATCATAAGTCTCCAGAATTTCCCACAGAACTGCCTCATACCCGGCAGATGGTCTAGTGGCTTGTTGATAACTTGTTAAGTGGTTTCATCTATACCATGTCAGGAGACTCGACAACGTGTGATGGTCTTCATCCTGCTGACAACGAGATAGTCACTAGGAAAATGGTGGAGGTTAGTTGAACAGAGGGGCGACGGCACCAAGGCTAGGTTGGTGAACATAAGGCCGAGGATAACAGTGATCATTGACTCGTGACGGCAGAAAAGTTGATGCAGTCCACTTGTAATAGATTTCCGCAAGCTAGCGCGCTTGGGTAAATGTAAGGGATCATTTAAGAACCAAGTCATATATTGCTAAGTGACGGATGTCGGTGGCGAAGATGGCTAACCAGCTGGACGGTTGAATCATGGGGCACCAAAAAGCACCAGAAACTCTTCAAGATGAGCGTGCAGACCGAGACTGTCTAGCGTACTGGACGACCAATGATCTGATCGACACATAGCTCCAGATACGGGTAACAGTGGCTTCGTAGGTGGTGAGTAGAATGGATGATCTACCAACCGTCTTGAGAAACGGTCATCTATGAGACCAGGGAACAGGGGCAAATCTAACATTACTAGTTGACGGCAACCGGCGGGAGTCTTTATTGTGCCTTTTTGTCACCGCCGGCAATGGTGAGGACTGATGACTCTGGTAGTGACAAAGACCACAGCAGAGACAGATGTATTAGGTCTTCCGCTAGAGGGCAAGGCTGGTAATGACTGACCGCCGTGGCGACTTCTGCCTTGATCGGGTAGCAGTGACCAGTGAACAGAACGAGGCATCCGGTCAGTTTGCTGGATAATACCCGGAATCGCGCTTTCGACTGAGCTGCCACTCACAGTGGTGCACAAACTGTGCTAGCGGAAATGTCGGGTTCCAAATCGGTACTGGTCACCAACCTGGTTGAGGTGTCTGAGTCGCGTGGTGACTGCAAGCCATACACGAAAACCAAGCATCGGAATAGATCAGCGGTAAGATAACCAAGCCTGAAATGACTGCCTCAAAATGGACGAGATCAAAGTAAGTGACAAGATCGTCGGCGTCGCTTTGGACCATCTGAAATCATTGAAAATGAGCGCTGATCAAAGACGATCTCACCTGAAAATCGTCATTGACTTCTGCACTGTGACTGCGGTTGGATAGGGTGGGTAGGATTCTTGTCTCGAGTAGAAAGCCCTGGATTTAGTTTCCTGAAAAATAAGCGGACACTCGTCTCATCAAATTGGTTGGATGATTTAACCGAGAAGAGGGTTTCGCATTGCCTATACCAGGACTCAAATATCACACCAGCTGTAGATTCATACTGGATATCAGTGATGTTGTTAGCGAGTTGATCCGCTGAGGAAAGGTGACTCAAACGTGGCCAATTTTCAGATCAACACTTCCAGTATGCTGAGATGTGGGCTTGCATCGCTTGGTTCAAAGTGGCACCGGTAGAAATGGTCGAATAAAAAACACCACATTCCAATCGCCAGAGGTTAGGTGGACGCGAGATCACCTCAATGCTGCCGATTGTCCCACATGAACGAGGGTAGCAGTTATCGCTCAAGGAGGATCGCCACTTTTGAGACGTAATCGCCACTCCTTACTAAGACCTGAAGGTCCAGTGAACAAAAGATTGGTGCACGGAACAAATGTTTGCTATTTGAAAAAAACGGATCAATATATAAAGCTTTTGGGGGGTTCAAATTAGGAAAGTGCAAATAGAACAAAATAAATCCCATGGAAACGGTTGGAGCGAAGCGGCATCCATTACTAAGCAAACATGGTGAGGGAAAAATATGACCATTAAATAACTAAAATAGATATAGTCGAGAAAAAGCCGTCATTTTTAGGAGGTATGGAGGATGAATGACGTAGATGCCCCAATTAGACATTTAAAATCAAGAGGAATAGATTCTACCAATAACGCAACGTCACACAGTTGGCTACCATAAGTACTTAATTCGCATGCTGATTGCGAAAAACTGAGGGACGACAGCCGCCATGCCAATGGTGCCGGTTGAGAACCATATCGCATAGTCTCGAATCAAATACAAAATGGACCGAGTGGAACATAGCCTGAGACAAGTCAACAGTACACAACGTAGCGGTCAGATTCCAATTACCGCTTCGAAGTCTACGCGGATTCGAGCCTGCGTATGGACGGGGTGACCTTGCAGCAGCCTTAACCTATCTGGGACTTGTGGTGGTTGTGCGGCAGCGAAGCGTCCGTACTAAGTATCGGTGTACTACTGATGTCTAAACGCCTGCGGTTTCCCAGCTCAAACTTTACGTCACAAATTACCAGCTGAGTTAAAAAACGAAGTGCGGTGAATCTAGTTGCCATAACTCACATCGCAAGAATAATAAGAAATGACAACGGTAAGATAGTGGGGTTGAATGCGAAGAGAATGTAGAGAAAATAGAAGCAATGATGAAGTGTGTTAAATTAATCAGAATAAAACGAAAATTAACAGCCAGATACAAGAAACCAAATGCGGGAACACCACTGACTGCGTGGCTGCGTCTTGTCTGACACGATCTCCAATCATTGGTGTGGACCATCCCGAAACCCCCACGCACGAAGACGACAGGCGTCAACCTGACCAAATCTACCGGTTAGTTTCTTTAAGCTTCTACATCATGTCATCGACTGGCCACCTCGTGGTTGCGTCAAACTTCGTGCGGCCACGGCGTACAATGAACGCTCAGGAAGCTGAGCAACGCGCATATGGAGGATATGGCCTAGCCAACGTAAGCG